CAGGGTATCCATGATGGGTGAAGCCAAACACTAGCAAGAGATCACCCAGCGAGGTTCGTAGAGTGAAGCTAGAGACAGGTGGAGACCTGGAGCCTTTGAAGCTCCTGTTCAGAGCCAGAGGAGGAAGAAGAGAGAGACAAAGGGACTAGCAAGAGCCAATGGCATCATACGTAGAAGGTGAAGCAGGAAATAGAAGAGCTAAACAAAATGTAATGAAGATAATCCGTTGGATTTGGCAACTAAAGCATTATTGGGGGCTTTAATGAAAGAAGTTCCAGTAGAAGAGAAATAACTGAAAGCCATGGGTTAAGGGACAGCTGGAGGTTAAGGAGAACAAGGATATGAACAGACTATACTTTCAAGAAACTTGACTCTGAAAGAAAAGACTTAGGGAGCATTAAAGGGAAGGGAAGGTCAAAGGTGGACTATTTTTTAAAATGAGAGATGCAAGCATATGTGCATAAAGAGAAGCAGCACAGGCTCAAGGCCAGATGCCAGCTTCCCCAGGAACTGGCTGCTATGAGACCTTGGGTAATGTCTTTACACCCACTGTTCCTCCGTCTTCTCACCTGGCATGTAGACTGATGATAGTATGTAGGTCACAGAGGGCAATGTGAAGATGAGCTAGTTAACAGTACTCATTTTTTTTAAGAGACAGAAGAGAGAGAGAATTTTTTAATATTTATTTTTCAGTTTTCGGTGGACACAACACCTTTATTTTATTTTATGTGGTGCTGAGGATCGAACCCAGCGCCCGTGCATGCCAGGCAAGCGCTTTACTGCTTGAGCCACATCCCCAGCCCCAACAGTACTCTTATAAATAATTCCACAAGCCTGGCCCAGTGGCACCCCACTCTCTGGAGGCTGAGACAGGAGGATTTCAAGTTTGAGACCAGCCTCAGCAACTTAGTGAGACCCTAAGCATCTCCAAATAAAAAGATTTATAAAACAAAAATAACTGGGGATGTAGCTCAGTGGTAAAGCACCTCTGGGTTCAATCCCTAGCACCACACACAAAAAAGTATTCAACAGTCATGGGCTGTCATGTTAACAATCATGTTCAGATTCTGAGTGAGAGGAGACAACCAATAAGAGGAAGAGGATCCTGAGAAAAGGGGGAAGAGGATGGATCAAAGTGACTTGGAAGGAGAAAGGATATCCACAAGATTTCTTCTTTTTTTTTTTTTTTTTAGTTGTTGATAGACCTTTATTTTATTTATTTATGTGCGGTGCTGAGAATAGAACCCAGTGCCTCACTGGGCAAGCGCTCCACCACTGAGCCCCAACCCCAGCCCCAAGATGGGGTTTTGAGGTTGGGATAGTGCCAGTGTCAAGTCTGTTGATGTTCCATATTAAAATTAACCCTCCTGCAGGGCGCAATGGCACACACCTGTAATCCCAGCAACTCAGAAGGCTGAGACAGGCTGATCCCAAGTTCAAGGCCAACCTCAGCAATTTAGCAAGGCCCTAAGCAACTTAACGGGACCCTGTCTCAAAGTAAAAAATAAAAGATGGGCTGGGTTCAATGAACTGGTGTTCAATTGAACACCCCTAGGTTCAATCCCTGGTACAAAAAAAAAAAGAAGAAAAGAAAAAGTAACCCTCCTTCCCTAAGGGCTGAGCTGTTGTTACCTGGTGATTCATCTATACCAGCTGTAGTTGGCTAAGTTCAGAGCTGGCTGAAATCAGAGTATCTCTCGGGCTTTAGGCCTAAGCTGCCTGGCCACTGCTATAAACTGCTGCTCTAGTTGACACATTCCTGCAGTTATTTACAACAACTCCATAAGAGGTCATTTTACTATAGAAGATATTTTCTTTTCTTTTTTTTCTTCTTTTTGCCTTGAAGAATGAAGCAGAGTAACAAGCCAACAACTCTGGAGATAGCAGCCATCTTAACCTTTACAATACAACACCCCACCACTTAGTGAGGCCCTGACCAACTTAGAGAGATCCTCTTTCAAAATAGAAATTAAAAAGGATGGGGGTGTAGCTCAGCAGTAAAGCACCCCTGGGTCCCATCCCCAGTATGAAAAAAAAAATAGAATATAACGTTCACACAGTATTTTCCTTCCAATTTTCTCCAGGTTTCTCTGAATCAAGAATCTCAGGGTCTTTCTAACTGCAAATAAGATATATTTAAACCAACCATCAAGTGGTCAAGGCAATGAAAGATTCTTTCTTTTTGTAACAGAATTCAGCTCTCTTGCTTTAACATGATTTATATTCCTGTGACCCAGGTGGATTTTTTTTTTTTCATATTTGTTTGTGTGATAGACCCTGGAGGAGCTATTCCTCATGGTCTTGCCATGCTCTGAGGAATGCCATCTTCTAAGAAGTGACCCCATGTTGGTGTCACACTCCTGCCCATCAACACCACCCAGTGCCCTCAGGAACCTACATAGTCTAGCGACATATTTCCCTGTTTGGACTTTCTCTTGTGATAATGCTTGGGAGCAGGTGTGGTCAGAGCAGCATGTAGAACACACTCTGGTGTCTGGGTGGAGCTTTCACAGCAGGCCTGAGATGGACCTGCAGTCTCACATTTGTTGTTGAAAAAGGAAGAGACTATTCAGCCCTGAGACGCCTGGCCAAAGTCAGCCAGCTGACTCCTGGGATCTGCCCAGGGAGCCCTTCTACTCATCACTCATTTGAGGGCAATGATGACCAGGTGATTGGAGGGAGGTTTTTTGCTAAATATCCTAGAAATCAGGGATTATGCTGTTTTCTACTTTCTTTTCTTCCTTTGTTGTTCCTAAAGCATTTATCAGGATGCCTAGAACTTGGTATGTCTTTAGAAGGAATGGAATGGAATAGAATAGAATAGAACGGAAGGGAAGGAAAGAGAGCTCAAAATCACTGCTCTCAATTCTCCAGAGCTCAGTTACAGCTGATAACAAGTTGTTGTCAGAGGAATTACATTAGGGCTGGGGTTGTGGCTCAGCGGTGGAGCGCTCGCCTAGCATGCTTGAGGCCCTGGGTTCAATCCTCAGCACCACATAAAAATAAGTAAATAAAATAAAGGTATTGTGTCCAACTACAACTAAAAAATAAATACAAAAAAGGAATTACATTATTAATAACTAATAATCATCTTAAAACAATTACATTGAGAGCAGAACTTTGAGGTACATTATGAAGTTCAGCTGTAAGTACTGATCATGACTGAGAGACTTCTCTGGGTGAGTCCCAGGTGAGCGATATGGAATCTTTATAAAGCCTTCTTAACTCCTTCCCACAAAACAATAACTAGGGATGGCTTCTGGTAAAGTATGCTGAGTCAAGTCAAGTTCTAGCCCACCACCATGTAGCTAACTTAATGTCAGGAGCAAAGTAAAAATATAAAACAAATAGCTACCAAACGATTACTCCCATATTGTCTCATAGTTACTCTTTTAATCCCACAGGCTTTTAAAAATATTTTTCGAAAAGGAGAAAGTAGGGATGGGAGGATGCAAACAAACAAACAAAAAAAAAAAGATTTGCATTTGAAACAGCTCAGGCCAAAAAAATTGTAGCCCTGTTTTCAAGTCCTCTCCAAAGAAGGAAGGATCCTGAATTAAAACATTAACCCCAGCATGGCACGACATCACTGAAGGATGGGAAAGCAGAGGCTGGGCCCATTTACTCCTCTCTGCCAGGAGAAGTGCAGAACTCACAGAGAATTCAGCTGAATTCCCCAAGTAATTCAGGTAATGAATCCTGGGTGTCATTGACTCATAATCAACCAGTCTTGATTTCAATACCTCAAATGCTAGGATATTCACTATTCTATGAATCATGTTAGAACCAATAACAATTGGTCCTATTTGGAGTCTGTATCAGTTAGGATTTTGTTTAGCTGAAAGTTTTTTTTAAAACAATAACTATAGCTTAACAAGGTAGAGGTTTCTCTTTCATGTAAAATTCTAGATACAAGAGGTAGTAGGAGTGGTATAACAGGCTACATAGTCTCAGAGACTATATAATTGCTCTTCTGTGTGGTTTTTGCAAAGTCATCTTATGTCCCAAAATGACTGATGAAGCTCCAGCTAAGTTCACTAAGCAGGAAAGAAAATGAAAGAAAGAAAGAAACCTCCTTCTTCCTTTTAAGGACACATCCTAGAAGTTGGATTCACCATTTCCAATTTATATCCCATTGGTCCAAAGGACATTTTTATCTTCAAGGAGGTTATTTAATGTAGTCTGTATTCCAGGTAGCTATTTTCCCACATAAAAATCATAGAAAGAAATCATAAAAAGGAGAAAATGGAGATCATGTTTCTACAATTAAATCTAATGCAAGCCTCTTCCTCTGGCTGCAGGAAAAGTCAGTTTGACTTAGAAAAAAAAAAAGTTTTAGTTTCAACCTTCCCTGGTAGGGTTGAGCTCAACAAAATAATAGAAGGAAGGTATTTGTGGAGTGAGGGCTACCACCACGACAGCAACAGAACTGAGCTGAGCATCCCAGAGCCAGCAGGCCACACTCAAAGCCAGAACAAAGCAAGAATGCAGAGACTGCTGCCCAGCGGTGAAACTGCTTCTATTGGGGCTTCCAACAGCTCCTACTTGGTCACCCACCACAGCCCCAGGAATGCCACCCACTTTCCCTTCCTCTCCACTGTGGTGTAGGCCAACTCAGGTGAGTAGTCCTGGTGGAGCCCCTGTGTGAGGCACTGGATGCTCCAGCTTGGTCTCCCCTGCAGGCAAGACGGCCTGCTTCTGCTGAATAGAGCCATACGTAAGAAGGTCCTCCAAAGAGTCCATAACTGCTCTGTCAGCTGCTCCTCCACATAGTCCAGTCCTGCCTGGAGAGCAGTGCAGAACACACCAGCTCTGAGCATCACAGCCCTTCACATATTTAAAGATATGTACCTTTCCTGTGGTTCATGTCTTGAAAACAGCCAGCTTCTCCAAACCAGCTTCTCACAAGCTCCCTGAGAGTAAGGTGCTGCCTTCTCCTCTTTGTGCCACAGTACTTAAATACAGTGTCTAGCTCATACGGAATCTCCATATTCACTTACAGAATTAATTAGGAAATTCTTCTTTATCATTTCCCCCTTTTGTGTCTCTTTATACACCTGCAGCCAAATTCTGTCTTGGTCAGGGCTGGGGATGGAGCTCAGTTGTAGAGAGCTTGCCCATCATGCTTGATCCCTGGGCTTGGTCCCCAGCACTTCAAAAAAAGAAAAAGAGGAAAAAAAAAAAAGATTGGTCAGAATATTTTTTAACTTAAATATTTCTTTCCTTTTTACAAAAATAAAATATCTTTATTCTAGGACACATATATCAACAACAATAATGAATCGCCCAACATTCCAATGCCTGAGGAGAAATGGTATTAGTATTTTTATTTGTATTCCTCTTAGATTTCTTTCCTATGCATATATTTATTAAATATACATTTTTCATTAAAATGAGGTCATGCAATTTTAATACCTACTTTTTGTACTTAACAAAATCTCTGCAGCTTCTTTCCAAGATAGTTTATCTGAATATACCATGCCACTTTTAATTAAATTTAACTGATACACAAAAATAAAAATTATAGACATTCATGGGTACTCTGCAATATTTCAATACATATATGTTGTGTATACTACATCAGTTTTAAGTTTTGTTTAATTGAAATAGAAAAGTGAAAAAGTGCACAAATCATAATAGTTCAGTTTGATGAAATTTCACTGGAAATGTCATGATAAATTGAACATGACCAGTACCCATAAGCCTCTTTAGTGCCCTCTTCTAATCACTGTCCTCTGCAAGGGTGACCAGAGACACTTCTAAAATTTTTATAAATGGCTGGGCATACTGGCGCTCACGTAATCCCACCTGCTCAGGAGGCTGCAGCAGGAGGATTGCAGGTTCAAAGCCAGCCTTAGTAATTTAGCAAGGCCCTAAGCAATTTAGCAACATCCTATCTCAAAATAAAAACAGCCGTGGATGTGGCTCAAAGGTTAAGTTCTTCTAGGTTCAATACCTGGTACCATAGGAAAAAAAAAAAAAGTAAACTTGTCTTGATGTGGTATATAAGATAAGTGATCGTGTGTATGTGTGTGTGTGTGTGTGTGTCTGTGTGTCACAAGGGGATATATCATATATTCTTATATCTGTCTTCTTTCAGTATATCATTTTAATGACCACATACTGTTCCTTTGCATTGATCTATTATAACTTATTAAGTTTAATTCCTATTCCACATACTGTTTTTTCTAATTTTTGCTTTCATTTAAAATGCTGTAATTAATGTCTATGAAAATAAAACAATAATTTGTTTACCTTTAGAATGAATTCATAAGTATAAAAACTTTTAAGAAGTTATTTTACATTGCCAAATTGCTCTTTGAAAGGTCCTACTGATTTTATATTCCCATCACAATGCAGAAGTCTTCCAGTTTCCATGGTGTTGCCCAGAATTGAACACAAAACCTCAGACGTAATCCAACATCCACCACAAATGTCCCCATCTGCCTTACACAGCCTCATTTCCTTTTACTGTAGATAGATAGACTGCAAGCACAAACATTTTCCAAGTTCTCTGACAAAGACAAAAACATGAATGATAACGCTAGAAATGACCTTGGAGTAATAACAAGCTTATTTTCAGCCAGGCAACCTTATTTTGAGATGAAAACGCAGATGCTCAAAGAGGTAGAACATCAGAGCAGATTCCCAGTGAAAACCAGACATAGAAAAAAGGGTTACAAAGAAACAAAAAGTGTCTGGCAGTTACCTTTGGGGACTAGGACTGTTTTTCTTTTCTACTTTTCCAAATTAATCTAAGTCTTCAATAAGAAGTATGTATTTCTTTCACAGTAGAGAAAATATATATCTTCAAAAGAAAAACAGAATAGAAAGGACAGGCTAGGTTATGAATTTTCTATTATATTCATTCAGTACTTGCCTAAGAACCCAGTGTGAAGTGATCTACAAAATAGGGGGGGAAAGGTTCGTATATTTAAGAAAACATATATTTAAGAGGCAGCACATTCTAGAGCAATGAATTCTAAAAAACTGGAAGAGCCAAACAAGCAGGGCCCGACTGAAGCAACTTTTAAAGGTTCCGGTTTCCATAGGTTTGAAAAGATAAATATACTTGGTGAGTTGGGTCTGAACCAAGCCCAGAGACCTCTGGGTAAAGAAACCAAGGACAGGTGTCTTGATGGTGTTTTCTTGGGGGTCAGTTTATGGCTCTTGTCCCTGTCCCTATTTGGAAATGAGGTTAGGGTATGATGGGATGAGGGTAGAGTGCAGGTGCAACATTAGAAATGCTCAGAAACCACTCCATGGTGCCTGCTGTTTCCTGTCACCTGAGACCTGAACCCTCCTTTCATCTGACCACCTAAAGGGCAGAGTCAGGGCATCCTGTTTCAGAGACATGTCTTAATGAGACATTTCACTTAGTCTCTGTGGCTGTGGTAGGTTTTTGACTAAATATATCAAAACCGTAGACTCACCTGTCAGAACAGAGATACAACATTATCCTTCCCAGATAACAAACGATGGGGCCCTGATAGTGTTACAGATTTAACAAATAAAAATATAAGACCCTGTATGTTTTCACTCATACGTGGAAGTCAGAGGGGAAAAGGTGAGGAATTAAGGGGATGGGAATCTCATGAAAATAGAAGGGAAACCAGTGACTAGAGAAGGAATCAGGAGGGGAATGTGAGGTAATGAGGAATTAAATTGACCAAATTATGTTATTTCCCTTACAAATATGTCACAATGAATTTCACTATTATGTATAATTGTAATGAACCAATTAATTTTTAAAAAAGAAAACCCAATTTGAAATCTATGCATGTGTGTGTTAAATTTGAATTTTAGAATAACACTGGTGGTATTTCATGTAATGATGTGCCAAGCAATATTTAACTGAGCATCCTGTATTTCTTCTGGCAACCACATGGGGACATGATGAAAGCCTGGCTCCTGGCGGCCACTCGTACCGCCTGGCGTTGTGTGGGTGTATTTCTGAACAGCAGGTCTGTCTGATTTCCAGCAAGAAGGGCTGGGAGGGCTTTTGGAGGGGAGCTTTAGAATTTAATGGTACGGAGACATAGTTGGTCCTTGGCACAGTTTTTTTTTTTTTTTTTTTACAACTATTATTTGGTTACCAATAGTACCTGTTTCAAATAATTGTAAAAATCAAATGAATTATTACAAATAAAACATTTATTACTTAATGTGTCATTATGCCAGAAGCATGGTAAACCAGAAACTTTTATCTGAATGGTATGTAGAAACTTCTCAAACACATTGGGTCCGCAGACCGCATCACTGATGCTAGAGAACTCACTGTGCCACAACTCTTCTCTTCAGCTTGATACTGAAATATCAGAAAGTCCCCCCTCCCATCTGCAACAGAGAGGAATGGCTCATCTTTTAATAAGGCTGTAAGGAGTTTTATTAACTATCATAACAATTAGTCATTCATGGTAGAACCATTATCTCAGCATTATTACATTGTAAATATGAAAAGAAAGATCAGCTCAGCCTCCCTGCAGTGACCATCAGGGAGTTCACAGCAAATTGCCTTTCTTAGATTATCTAGTCTAGAAGCTCCAAATCAGGCTAATCATCAGAATTGCCTAGGGAATGTTTTGTAAAGATTATCTTTTTTAATAATGAAAATACTTCAAACGTACAACAAAGCTGAAAGCATTTTACAGTAAACACTGGCGTACCCACCACCTAGATTCTGCCATTAACATTTTACTGTATTTTGTTTTATCAAATTATCTGTCCCTCTGTCCATCCATCAGTATCTCTTTTCTTCTTAAAAATTTCAAAGTAGGGGCTGGGGTTGTGGCTCAGTGGTAGAGTGCTTGCCTCACTTTCATCTGTTGATCTATTTCCTACTACATATCAGGCACTGATAAGTAACACAGTTGGCTATCAAGAAGTTTCCAGCCCTATTTAAAGTTCTTCCATATAACCTTCAGCTGACCCTATCACTGGCACTTCAACACATTCACAAATAACCTGAAGCAGTCGGTGCCTTTCAAAACTAATAGAGTTGTTGTCTGTGAGGATAAAGCTCCATTTTTCTTAACTGCTTCTGGTCAGAGAGATTCAGTTACCAGCAACAGTCTGCAGAAACTCAGCATACTGGTGCAGCTCATCCTAGATGCAGGATGTTTAAAGTGATTCATGAGCCCAGACTGCCTGGGGGTCATTCCTTGGGCACCATGGGCTCATGGTCTGACAGCATTAATAGCTTTTCTCTGGAAAGGATCATTCAGTCTCAAAAACCTGAACCCAGCGTTGGGACCATTTTCATTTAGAGAGAAAAATGTTTCAAGGGGCAGAAATATGATAGATTTTTTTAAAACAAATCCTGAATATTATCTAGAAACAGGATGGCTGGTTTTGCAAAAGACATTTAATATCTCACGAGCTATGACTATGAAGAGTATCCATCTTTAAAGATGTTAAAATAGTACCACTATTTTTTTTAAATGCTGTGTAAAATGACGGGGTGTTTGAGCTAGGAAAACTTTCAAGCTTTCACCCCTGCTGGCTGCCTCATTTTACAGACAGTAATTGTGTCAGGGTGTATTTCACTGGCCAGCTACTCTTCAAGCACAGACACGTATCACCTCATTTTGTCCTCACAACCCACAGGCCATCTCCACTCTGTAACTGAAGAGGTTGAAGCTCAAAGAGGATACAGGAACCTGGAACTCAATGGAACAGGGTTGTCATTTTGGTGGGGCCACAAGGCTCCTAGACAGTGGCACTAATTAACAGTTACCTGGGCCCTTGCCCAAGGTGTGGGGACAGTGAAGTAAAGCAATTTCTTCTCTCTGTGACCTTAGCCTGGCTCAGGCCGTAAGCCAGAGGAAGAGAGGGTTACCAAGTGTTTGTCAGTGGTTCCAAAGGTTGCTAAGGAATCAAAGATATGAAAGAGTAGGAGAAAGCTGTCGAATAATATGATGGTGATTCAACCCCGGTGAACTTTGGAAGCTCAATTTCAGAGAATGATGAGAGTAAAAATAGCATCAAGAAGAGAGGGAGTCAATGAGTGGGAAAATAATGAGGAAAGAAAATAATTTTCATCTTCTAGTGAATAAGAGGATTAAAATATCTGTTAAAAGTGAGAAGAATAAGACTGGCGCAGTGGTGCATGCCTGTAATCGCAGAGGCTCGGGTGACTAAGGCAGGAGGATCAAAGGTTCAAAGCCAGCCTCAGCAACTCAGTGAGGCCCTAAGCAACTCAGTGAGACCCTGTCTCAAAATAAAATACAAAAAAAGGTTGAGGATGTAGCTCAGTGTTTAAGTGCCCCTGGGTTCAATCCCCAGTACCAAAAAGAAGAAGAATATGTTTGAAGACAATGGGGAAATATTAGAATCCATTCATGGACACCTAATTCTTTCATTTGTTTGGTTATTTGGTGTTTTCTTTGTTTTGTTTTGGTACTGGGGATTGAACCCAGGGGCACTTTACCACTGAGCCACATCCCCAGCCCTTTTCTTTTTTTCTTTTTTCTTTTTAATGTTTGAGATAGGGTCTCCGGAAGTCTGTGTTGGGTTTTTCTTCGCTTACAGCTCTGTCTTACTCTGTCTCATTTTGATAGAGGACTATTAATAAGAATTTATATGGAATCTCTGTATATATCCCGCCACATACCCTTGCTGTCAATATTTGCCCCTTTCCCATCTCAAGAAGGTAACCAAGCTTTGAAGTTCCATTTGTTGACTTTCTTGTTACTGAGTAAAAAAACAAAAGTTACCAGATATACGGATGACAACTTGCAGAGACAGATTCATTTAGAAAAGCAGAAACACATTCAAAGGAGAATGTGTTTACCTCAAGGGAGAGACATCTTTCAGGGTAAAACAAGGAACACATATTCAAGGGAGGATGTAGGCCATCTCCAGAGAGAGACAGCAACACCTTGGTGTGGGATGTTAGTATTCCCAGAGGGACCCTAGAAGGGACTGGACTACAGGAGGAATCAAGGGCCAAGTTATACAAATTTTCCCTGCCATTATGTATTGCCCTCCTGTCACTTCTTGCAGAAAAGTGCATGGGTCAAGAATGAGGGCCAAGGGCACAGGCTAAGGATGTGGAGTGGGCTGCTCACCAATACTTACTTTGCATTTCAAAGTTTTGTGGGCAATTCCTGCATTCCAAGGGCTTTTGGGCACTTCTCTTTTGAGACTCAATCTATCTTTCCTCTTCTATATCCCCAAATTCATATCCCAACTCTTGGTGGTCTTCCTTACCACAATTCCCCTGTTTGGCAATTGCTTACCCTTCCCCTGCCTGGGTGTAGAGTCCCCCTCCCAGTGCTGTTTACAGGCTCAGAGCCAGCCCTGTCACACAGCTGTGATAGGGGTCACCTGCCATCTTCCCTTCTCTGGTAGAAAGACCCAGCTCTGAATCTTTTTGTTCCCAGAGCTTTGCCTAGTGTCAGACCCCTTAATAGCTGACCAGCAAATGTTTTTCAAACAAAGAGCTGAATTAATATGCCTTGTGCTTAATTCCAGGTTGCACCAAGCAGTTAAAAGATACAGTAAAATATCAACAAAGGACATAATAACCAGCTCTGTGCCACTGCTATGGAAAGCATGTAAAAATAAAGGTGTAAACCAAACTTAAGTGCATGCATTAGTTTGTGCTTGGGATTCCGCCGATTTCTACCTGACATCTTTATTTGCCTGAACTTTCTCTCGGAGCCCAGAATGTGCTATAACATGCCAGCCTTGTTATAACATTTCATCCTTTTTCCCGGAGGCCAAGTACCTGCAATAACTGTGTAGGAGGCAAGAGCTGTCTTTAAGAGAGAATTTTACCCATAAATAAAAAGCAAAGAGGAAGGGGTGACCCAGGTGGACATGCTGAGGTGACACAGATCATTTCAGTTCCACCTCAAAGAACAGCAGGTGCCTGGGCTCACAAGCCCCCTATTCTGTCCTCTCTCTTCCTTCTGTAGACCCAGGGGGAGTGAGAGGCTGAGCCCTAGGGTAGGACTTCACACCACTTATACTTTTAAGCACCTGTGGTCTTACGTGGGAGATTTTTTAAAAATTACATTTGAAATTGAGAATAAAGGTTTTTCTACCTTTTTTTCCCCCTGAAATATTAGGGACAGACCTCTTCAAAATGGAATTTCATAGTCTAGACTCTGTGTGGTCACCCCGTGTGGCACTATGCACAGGTCTGCTCAGGCGTAGGAGCCTGGAGTTAAGGATACAGTAACAATCCTCGAGATGGCAGGCACTGGGATGGCTCCGTGTCTGTCAGCAGTCATCTTGTCACCAGAGAACACAGCCCACTCATTCCGAGATGTGGTTCCTCAAAGATTTTTTTTCCATGTAACAAATTATCCTGGAGGGATATCAAAGCCACATTGTTTTTTATTTAGAAGTCTTAAGTTAAGACCTCAGAGACATGTTAGTGACAGTATATGAGAATTCATGTTTCCACCAGCAGTTTTTTTGTGCTTTTATTGCAGTGAGAAAATCGCTTTGTTCCCCAGTTTGGAGCCAAGGGAAGAATCAAGCCATTGTATAGATTGCTTAAAATTCCACTGTGCTACACCATTTGGCCAAAAAAAAAGCTAAGAATTTGCAGCTGTTGCTCGAAAGGTTTCTAACTGGGACTGGGGCGGGGTGTGGGGAGGGGTTGCTGTTTAACACACAGCTGTTGTTAATTTGAGTTGAAGTTTTTTTTAATTGCCTTTGTATCCATATTTATTAAATAACATTTTAGAGGAGCAAAAACTATAATAGTCATATTAGTAGGAGGCTGCAGGAAGAAAATAATTGGAACACAACATTTTTGCCTTGTAAGCCAAGTCTGAAAATATCTTTTCCACATGACCAGCTAGCTACCAGCCTTCCCAGGAAAAGAGTTTCCAGGTAAATCCGACCCACAGAAGCCCCACGGCGGCGTCTGCAGGAGCTCAGCTGCTTGCTCCTCTTAGTCATTTATCTGGAAGCACTCCTTCCCCTGAGTGGCCTTCTCTTGTTCCTACACTCTGTGTTCCTATTATATCAGGAGGCAGGAGTCTAGTGCTTGGAGCAAACGTAGCATTAGCTGGGAATTGGCTGCTCCTTTAAGTGGTCTGCATTATTTTTGCAAGGTTCTGTAATTGCTGTTTTCCTATTGCATGTAGCCCATCCAGGACAATATACTCTGAGGGGCCTAAACCCTCCCCACTTGGCAGCTGTATGGACGAGCAGAAGATAGAAAACATGGACCTTTCTACTAATGAAAGACAAATCTTAATGTCCTTTAATAGAGAAGTTTGAACTAACCCAAGAAAAGAGTTTTTTATAGGATGAGATAAATCAGTCAATTTGCAGAATAAGTCATAAATCCTAACATGCTAAAATTTCAGTTGTGATTTTGCATTTTTATTAATGTTAAATATTCCCCTTAAATAGGAAAAAAAAACCCTGCAATTCATCAGACATTTATGAAGCACCTGCCATGTGCAAAGTGCTGAACTGGGTCCTGAAGGTACCCAGAGAAGTCTCTGGGACAGAGGGTCTGGTGAGGGACCCAGGCACCTTGGAAAACAGGCAGAAGCACTAGATGCCATTGGCATCCTGCCCAACAGAGCTGAGGGTGGGAGATGGTTCCTGCAAGAGGAGAAACACCCAAGTTGGACCTAAGGATGAGAAGAGTCTGCATAGTTAGAAAAAAAGCATGAATGGGGAAAGGAGATTCAGTGTGTAGCTGAACACACACGCCATGGGTATATATGTGGACTACAGAGTGAAATATTATTTAGCCTAAAGAAACAGAGAAATCCTACCACTTGGCAACAGATAACATGGGTGAGCTTAAAGGACATATGCTAAGTGAAAGGAGCCAGGCACAGAGAGACAAATACTGAATGATCACATTTATATGTGAAACCTAAAAAAGTCAAATGCACAGAAATAGAGAACAGAATGATGGTTGCTGGGGGCTGAGGGGGGGAAGTGGAGAGAGATTGATCCAAAGGTGATCAACTTTCAGTTATAAGGAAAATAAGTTGTAGAGACCCAGTGTACAGCACAGTAACTATAGTTAACAGCAGGGTATTTTATACTTGAAACTAGCCAAGAAAATAGAGGTTACATGTCTTCACTTGAAAAAAGAAATGGTAGCTATGGGGGCGATAGAGGCGTTAATAACATCACTGAGGTTATTTACCATACAGCATGCATCAGATCATCACACTGCATACCTTAATTTATACAGTTTTGCCAATTTAACCTTAATAAAGCTTGGGAATAAAAAAAAGAGGAAGAAGGAGGGCATTTCAAGCCCAGGACCAGGGAGAGCCAGTTTGGTGACTGGGTAAAGTATGTCTTCTTAGAGGAACTGTGGTTAGACATGATGATGTTGGGCGAGGCAAGAAATAGGGAAAGATTTAACATTTCAAGAAACGAAAGAGCTTATTATCCTAATTTGATCACTACACATTGTATATATGTATCAAATTATCACACTGTATCCCATAAAGGTGTACAAATATTATATCTCAGTTTTAAAAAGAAATGGATTAAGGAAAAGATGAGAAGTAGAGTGGGACTTGATTCTGGAGTGTGGAAGTGCCCCTACAAATAGCTTGGATTTTATTGTGTGGGGCATGGGGAGCTACTGAGTGCTATGGAGCTGGAGAATGACATGCTTTTCAGGTAAATCATCCTATGAGCAGGTCTGTTGGACCCCAGAGCCTAAACCATTCCCACATGCAGAGGTGGAACAATTGCCATTTGCCAATCAGAGAACATGAGGGCCCAAACTGTGACTGGTGAGAATCTGGCCACAGAGAGGAAGAGAGAAGGGAACACCTCTGATGCTTACTAGCTATGTAACCCAGAGCAATGGAAGTACCTTCTTCGTGCCTTCATTTCCCATCTGGGCATAATAACAGTGTCTGCCTCTGAAGCCTATTTTAAATTAATGCATATAAAGTGCTTGGAACAGTAACTGGTACAGTAAGCATTTGGCAAACATTAGCTATGATTATTTTCAGATGTAAAATTCTACGATTTAGCAACTAATAGCACTTGGCAGGGTAGGGAAAGGAGTCAAATATCTAGTGTTCATCAAAGAAATATGGAAGGCACTCCAAATTAATAATAATAGTCGGGTGCAGCCGCACATGCCTGTAATCCCAGTGGCTCGGGAGGCTGAGACAGGAGGATCATGAATTCAAAGCCAGCTTCAGCAAAAGCAAGGCCCTAAGCAACTCAGTGAGACCCTGTCTCTAAATAAAATACAAAGTAGGGCCGGGTGCAGCTGGGGTTGTGGCTCAGCATAGAGTGCTTGCCTGGCATGTGTGAGGCCCTGGGTTTGATCTTCAGCACCACATAAAAATAAATAAATTAAATAAAAGTATTGTGTCCAACTACAACTAAAAAAATAAATATTTAAATAAATAATAGGGCTGGGGATGTGGCTCAGTGGTCAAGTGCCCCTGAGTTCAATCCCCGGTATCAAAAAAAAAAAAAAAAGAATAGCTAGAAAAAATAGAGAAAAATTATGTTGAGGAATACCTATAGAATACCTATAGTCTTCAAAATTGTCAAGGAGTCCCAGAAAAACTGCTCCTTACTGAAGGAGACCAGAAGGACATGACAGCAGAAGACAATGTGTGGCTCTGAACTCAGTCTGTTGGCTTCAAAGAACATTGAGTCCGTAGGACAATTTGAAATTCAAACAAGGTCTGAAGTTATGTGAGAAGATATGCTTGTTTCCTTGCTTTTAGGAAATGACACTCAAACGTACCTGTCTGATCCACAACAATGTTTCAGAATGTCCTTTGTTCCTCGATTATGAATCTGTAAGGTTATGATTGTTTGCAAATAAAAATAATTTATTCTCAAAATTAACAGCTGGTATTCCCTAAGTACTCACTAAGTATCAGGTCTGTGGCCAGTACTTTGCACCTGAGCAGGTTCAATTCCCCAGGAAACCTCTCATACTCCCGTCTATACTAGTAGAGCCCAGGTATAGGACTCTGTGCCCCTGCAGCAGCTGAACCCTCTGCCTCACACACTTGCAACTGCTGTAGCCACTGCTGTGGCTTGTCACTAATACCTGCCCCCTCCACGGACCAGGAGCTCTTTAAGGCTGAGGACTGTACTATACTCTCCATTTGTATCCATGGCGCCCAGCACAGCTCCTGCTTCATCCCAAGTCCTCAGCACATACTTGGTGAGTGAAGCACTGAGGCTTGCCCACCGTGGTGGCCACAGACACAAGGGAGGCACCAGACTTGGGATGTATATCTGACATATAACTTTTTTTTCAAGGTGGCCCTGGCTCTGGCAAAGGCACACAGTGTGAAAAACTGGTGGAAAAATATGGATTCACACACCTCTCAACTGGTGAGCTCCTGCGTAAAGAACTGGCATCAACATCTGAAAGAAGCAAATTGATCAGAGACATCATGGAACGTGGCGACCTGGTGCCCTCAGTAAGCAATATCAGGAAACTTCTGCCTTCCTTGGTGGCAGAGGTGCTGGGACCTGTTGGGGGGAGTCTGAGCTGCCACAACAAAGAAACCCAGAGGGACAGACAGCAGCTGTTTTCTCTCTCTGACAATCCAGAGGCAGGCAGGTCTACACAGACAATCCACTTGCCTCTCTGTGTTTGCTTCACCAGCCCCCAAATTGTTACCCTGGCTCATACTTTCCCCCAAATCCAGGCCCCACTTAAGAGTTAAAAATCTTCACAACAGCGGTAAATGTGGTTCAGCCTAGAATTAAAAACCTCCCCCAAAACAGAAAATAACCTTTTGGTCTAGTTCTAGCGAGTGTAATAACATTATCTTAACATTTGTTGTCTTCCTTGTGGAATTTAAGTAAAAATGTCCCTTCTTTCTATCTTTTTTTTTTCTTTTTGAATTACTATTCATCTCTGAGAAGCCAGATGCCATGGCAAAAAAAAGAAAAAAAAAATCCGTTCTTGCATACTATGTTCCTTGCTGGGCTCTGTACTTTGGGCTTGTACAATGCAGTCCCTATTGTATAAAGTTTGCCATGTCCTCCTCCACCAGCTGGAGTCTTTACCACCTGGAAGCCGGCATGGTCCTCATGAAAGAAAAGTAGACCCTTGCAGCTGGCCCTAGATGACCCCCTTGCAACCACTCACTCTTTCCCCGCCATCGATTCTTTTCTACAGAAACCAAAGTGATTTTTTAAAAAAAACGTTTATCAAATTAGCTGTTCCTTTCCTCAGAATCTTCAAACCCAGGTTCCTGCCCATAGCTCTGGCTTCCAGCTACTCTCCACTGTTATGGCCCACCCCCACCTTACCTGCTGCCACCAGCCCCTGGCCTCCAAGTTGTTCCTCCCATAGCTCAGGCTGTTCTTGCCCCAGGGTCTTTGCACAGGTCTTCTCTCAGCCCCAAGGGCTCCTCCTTTATATATTCACACAGTTTGCTCTTTTAATTCAGATCTCTGCAAATGTCACAACTGATCAAAGAGGCTTTCCCTGACCATCCCATCTAAAATCGCATCTCCAGCTTGCTTTTCTCTTTGTCTTGCTTTAATTTGTGCCTGGAAGTTATCTTTAGCTCACTATCATGTATTTATTGTCTGTTTTCCCCATTAGACTATAAACTTCATGAGGAGTTAGTTATTCATAATTATCTAGGGAGGATTCTGACTACACTTAGATGCCTACATTCCCCATGCCCTGCCAAAGGCCAGGCAGCAGGGAATGCCTCTGCCTCCTCAGAAGGCAGCTGAGTGCATTTTTCCTGTACTTTTCCCCCAAACTCCTCCCTTATGGCCCATAAGCACTAATTAGATACAGATTTTGAATGGAGAAAATGATATCGCTGGAAAATGCTAGTCACATCTACGGAAAGTCTTTTCAAGTTGGTGCGTGTCAAGTTGTATAAAATATGTACTGGAAAAAATGAACAGTGAGCCAGGTGTGGCGGCGCATGCCTGTAATCCCAGCGGCTCGGGAGGCTGAGACAGGAGGATCGCGAGTTCAAAGCCAGCCTCAACAAAAAGCGAGGCACTAAAACAACTCAGTGAGACCCTGTATCTAAATAAAATACAAAAAATAGGGCTGGGGATGTGGCTCAGTGGTCGAGTGCACCTGAGTGCAATCCCCTGTACCTCCCCCCCCAAAAAAATTAACAGTGAAATATATTTTATTCCATATTTGGTCTAGTTTTAAATTACCATGATTTCCTAATGCGTAGAGTGCTGCCATTTGAAGTAGGGCTACTATAGTTCATGTACTCTAAGATATCATTGTTTTAAGACCCCCGAGTTGAATATAAAAGTAAGAATGCACTAGTAAGAAAAAGAAAGGGGAAAAAAAAAAAAGCTAACCATTATGCTATGACCCAGCACACTGATTTTAAGATACCTACCCATTTAATAGACGTTAAAATATGTGTACAGGGAGTGAGACTAGGAATTGATAAAATATGGGATGTTGCTGTCTGCAGTTGATCTTGTCTGAACCTTCCTCCCTCCTTCAGTGGGATGACTGAAGGAGATTCTGGGAATTCTAGGGCTGTTCATCTCGGGTCTGACCATTCTCTCCCTGCTCCAGGGCATCGTTCTGGAGCTCCTGAAGGAGGCTATGGTGGCCAGCCTCAGCAACACCAAGGGCTTCTTGATTGACGGCTACCCTCGGGAAGTGAAGCAAGGGCAAGAGTTCGGACGCAGGGTGAGCTGTGGTGATGGGGATCATTCTAGAAGAAAAACAGGGGACATCATCATTTCGGTTGGGGAGTAAATTCAAAGTCTGTTCCTTTCCCAATTACGTTAATCAACCTTTCCATTTTGAATGGCAAAAACTCAACTCAAACTGGCCAAAAAAAAGAAAGCGGTGGGAGGGCGTAGGGAGGGGGTCTACTGACTTAAATAACTAAAATGCCCAGTAGCAGTTCAGTCTTGGCTGGATCTGGGTATTCAGATTTCAATGGTCTTTCGCTCTCTCTTTCCCTCTCTCTCGGATTTTTTTCCCATTTGTGTTGGCCTCGTTTTCTTCCTGTTCTAGTCTCATATCCTACCATCTAAGCGACTTCACACAAAAGTGTTTCTGTTTCCCAGAGGTTCCAGCAAAAGTTTTGTTATCCTGGATTAGATCGATCAGAGAGCCGTTTACTATGGCCAAGGGAAAGGTGAGGGAAGGCGCTGACCCATTGTGAAGGACCTCAGCCAGGAGGGGATGGGGGCACCACACCTGAGCCACATAGACTGAGCAAGAAAAAGCAAATTACCACAGGAAAAGTAGGGGTACCCTTACACAAGAAGACAGGGGAATGGATGCCAGTCAGGCAGAATCAAAAATACACACAGCTCCATCTCCCATCATCCAAGCTCCCCTACTCCTACACTCTCCTACTAAAGATGGTGGGTCAGGGACACTCCCATAGGAATGGTAAATACCATCCCAGCTGCCAGGCATTGAACCGACTCTGAGCTGGGTCCTGTGCTACACAGTATATGCATTGCTGGTAACTTTACAAAGTCCAGGCAAGAAGGGTACAATTGTCCCAGTTAGAACCTACAAGAAATTCATATTTAAATTTATTTATTTACTTATTTACTACTGGGGATTGAACCCAGGGGCACTTTGCCACTGAACTACATCCCAGCCCTTTTTATTTTTTTTATTTTGAGACAGAGTCTCACTAAGTTGCTGAAGGTGGCCTCAAACTTTTAAGCCTCCTCCCTTAGTGCTGGGATTACAGGCTTGTGCCAGCAAAATCCATACCTACGTAATTATCTCCTTAGAATAGTTTTACAATATTTTCAAATGCATTCTTTCATTTGATGGTTTTAGAAATAACCTTTTTAGATAGATGGGGTTATTGTCCTATTATTAAAGGTAATGAATTAAGCCCAGAGAAGTTTAATGACTTGTCCATGATCACACAGCAGATGACAACTTTCTAGTAAATGACAACTGCTGATAGGAAAGATTTGGAGAGAACCACCCGTAACCTCCTCTAACACTGCAGCATTGATTAAGGCGATTTGTGCTTACGTGTCTCCTGGGATTTATTTTGAGCTCTCTCTGACCCTATTTTATGTAGCTTCCCTACATGGTATCTCAACTATCCACCTTCCCCTGAATTTCCTACTTGCAACCAGAATCAAAGAAAATTCTTCAGGTCCAGCTGGTGAAGGCAGGCATAGGTTGGGGAGGGCCGGGAAAGTAGTTTTGTGTAGTGGAGCCTTATGACTAGATAGATTCTGGGCAGTCCTTAGTGGGGGACCCTCATGCACCAGAATTCTAATGAGCTTCTTTTCACAAAATAAATCACTTTAAAAGTGCAAGCCTCATTATATACTGACTAGTTTTTGACAAAATGGAATTGGAAGAATTGTTCTGCTTTTTATAATTATGGCAAAATATACATCATAAAATTTTACCATCTTAGCCATTTTAAAGTATATCATTCACTGGAACCAACTACATTCCTAGTGTTGTTCATCATCTCCAGAACTCTTTCATCCTGCAACTCCATACTCATTAAACAGAGTTTCCCCCTTCCCTCTCCCGTCCCCCCCCAACACACACAACCCCTGGAAACCACCATTCTACTTCCTGTCTGTAAATTTGACTACTCTAGCTTCCCCCTATAAGTAGAAGTAGTAGACTTATCCCCTTGTGACTGGTTTGTTTCACTTAGCAAAATGTCCTCAAGGTTCATTCTTCTTGGAGTACATGTTAGACTCTCCTCCCTTTTCCAGGTTGAATAACGTCCCATTGGCCATAGTAAATGGTTCTGTGATAGGCTCACAACCTAATCCAGGATAATGAAGCTCAGCTCTGGGACTTTTGCTGGACCTGTTGGGAACAGAAATACTTTATTGTGAGGTCCCTTGGATGGTAGAATATAAGACTAGAATAGGAAGAAAATGAGGCCAACATGAATGGAAAAAAAGCTAAAGGAGGGAGAGAGTAAGACCATCATTGGACAAATCTGAGTACCCAGATCCAACCAAGTCTGAACTACCTACCAGTGAATATACCATGTTCTGTTTGTTTATCATCCTTCTGTGGAGATTTGGGTGGCTTCCAACTTTTGGCTAATGTAATTAATGATGCTTTGACTATGTGTGCACAAATATTTGTCCAGGTTCCAACTTTCATTTCTTTTGTGTATTCCCACAAGTGGAATTGATTGATCATATGGTAATTTTATTTTTAATTTTTGAAGAACTGCCACACTATCTGTGTATAGACATATTGCCAGCCAAGGTGGCTGCATCACTTTACATAATGAAAAATAATAATTTCTCCTCTCCTCACCCACACTTGTTATTTTCTGGGGTTTTTTGTTCCTTTGTTTGTTTGATGGTAGCCATCTTGTCCATCATGGATATGAGATGGTATCTCATTGAGGTTTTGATTTGCATTTTCCCCAATGATTAGTGATATTGAGCATCTTTTCGTGGGCTTTCTGGCCATTTGCATATCTTCTTTGGAGAACTATTCTTTACCCATTTTTGAATCAGGTTGTTTGCCTTTATTGTTATGTTATAGAGGTTTTTTTGTTTTGTTTTGTTCTGTTTTTGTTTTTGTTTTGTTAGCAGGGATTGAACCCAGGGATGCTTAACCACTGAGCCACATTTTTATTTTTTTTTTTATTTTTGAGACAGGGTCTCACTAAGTTGCTGAGGCTGACCTTGAACCCGTGATCCTCCTTTCCTCGTCCTCCTGAGTCTCTGGGATTCCAGGTGTACACCACCATGCCCAGCTGTTATAGGAGTTCTTTATATATTATAGATATTAACTCTTTATCAGATTTAAGACTTTGCACATATTTTCCCCAGTTTCACTCTTTTGATTGTGCCCTTTTGCATAGAAGTTTTCAATTTTGAAGTAGCCTAACTTACCTATTTTTACTTTTCTTGCCTGTTAGTCAGCTTTCCATTGCTATTACAAAATACCTGAGAAAGTCAACTTAAAGGAGGAAAGATTTATTTCAGCTCACAGTTTTATAGATTTCAGTCCGTGGTCGCTTGGCTCCATTGATTCTAGGCCTGTGGTAAGGCAGAATAGCATGGTGGGTAGGATGTGGGAGAACAAAGCTGCCTACTTCATGATAGCTAGAAAGCAGGAGCAGTGAGAGGTAGAAGCAGGCTGTGAACAATTTAATGAAGAACAGGGGTATTTTTCCTATACCACTTTAGAAGCAGAGCCTGTGTAAGGCTTGGGGTTTGAGGGGTCTCCAGAGGCAAGGACAATGTGGTCCAGTAGTCAAGGGATTGACAATGTGGAAACACATGCAAGAGAAGATGCCTTCCAACTGCTGCAGGGTCCAGGCTTTAGGGTGGAGAGTACCCTACCAGGGGATTTCACATTTTCTCTGTGAACTTAAGGTCAGAGGAGTCTGAGAGAGCCCCGGGAAGTCAGGACAGGTCATGCACTTGCTTTGAAATGCTGGGAAATAGAAGTCTTTGCAAATTGCTCTCAGAGGTAGTAAACTATTTGTTTGAAACCCTCAAACTGTTAAGGATAAAATACATAGTCGGTCTCTCCTCTCCTTCAGCTACTGGGTGCAAACAACACAAAATTATCATCCTGTCCTTCTTTTGAAGCTTTTAAAACTAGATCCAGAGGCAAATCCCGGAATTTAGACCGATGGTCTTCTAAATCATTCTGAGCAGTAACAGCACTGTTGGGATCCATGTAAGGTTACATCTTTGAAGCACATCACTCATAAGGTCTGGACTCAGAAAATATGGAATTTTACCTCTGCCAAATATTAGTATGACCTGGGCAAGTCACTCAACTTCCTCTTCAGCCAAGTATTATCCAGTTTAGGATCACTCATTTTTTAACCACACTTCATACAAACCTTAAAATCTCTACTTCATGACCTCTCCCTCTATGGCTTACAGCCCAATGAAGCGTTCAGGGCTCTTTGTCGCCAATTGTTCTGCTCCCAGACTTTGGCTACATAGAAATTGAGATCATCCATGCAATCCTTTCTAAAGTAAAGCGAAACCCTCCTCCCATTGGGGCCCCATTCAGACACATTTCAGGATATGGGAGAAAAGAAACCTAACTGGTACTAAAGGTGAGAGAATCACCAGCCTGAGACTAGACAGTTTCAACCAATGCAAAACTTCATGATATCATTTCCAAAAAACATACAAGCATCCCGTTTCACTACTGAACTACGAAGACAGTCTTTTACTGCTGGGAGGAGCTTACAAAGATCAAGAGTGACACTGGTTAGTCCCCAGATACAATGACTTTAGAAGATTATATCAGTTAAGCAGGACATAAGAGAACATGGCTCTCCACAGTTGGGTGGTGCGCAGGTGCTTTAATCCTGACCAGAAAAACAAAGAACCTACAAACAGAAGGAGCTCCTGTAGACATTTTTATGTCCTGCAGGGGCCCATCGTTTGGACAGCCTCCTCCAAATTACAGGCAAGAAATTAATTTGCAATTTGGCAATGATAAATATAGACAATTGATTTTCTCCAAAGTTGCAGAGTAATCAGCTTGGCAGAGAGCAGAGTGAGGGTTTCTTGTCCATGCATCAGGTCTACAACTGCATTTGAAGCCCAATCAGGTCTGTAAGTGGTTTCAAACAGACTACAGAAGCAGCCTCACCAGCCTTTCTGCAGTCACAGAGATTGATGCAAACCATTTGTATTCTGAGAAAATCCAGCTCAGTTAATTAGACTGACATATTT